GCCTGCATCTCCATAGCAGCCTTCACTCCAGGTGGTGGTGAGATATCCTCTGGCATTCACAAAATCATCACAAATTGCGCACAGTGCACAGGTGCCTGGCTAGGTGCATCAGCACAATTTCACAACTTTGACCCACCAATTTCAGACATTACAAAACTCTTTTAACAAATATGCATCATCAATTTCCCTGCATGAACTATCAATTTCGAGAAAAGCGATCTTTTACATGATGTGTGTTTCTCAAGTTCACTTAAATGAATCCAAGTTCACAAACAATTTATTTCAATTTCACCATAAAGAAACAGTTTCTCAAATAGAATAATCAATTTTGATGTACAACTCTCACTTCACTTAGCTGCTGAAACAATTTCTCGAAGTAGCCCACTACGTGAAAAAGAAAAAGGCAAAAACAAAGTAGCCAGCTCTCCACACAGAAGTCCAAACACCTCTCCATTGTCCTACGAATTGTTGACTCTCTGAAACCAAAATGTTTGGTCGTTGTGAATCATCAATCCTGTTGTGCTTCTGTGGACGGCGTCCATTCTAAAGAGTACTACATACTGTACTTTGGCCCACAAAGAGTGTGCAGTCCAGTAGCTGATGAGGCAGAATTGCAGTGCAGTAGACGGTTTGTCCAATGCGCTGGCACACTATGGCAGCAGTAAGCGACACACTATGGCAGCAGTAAGCGATGGCACTATGGCAGACACTCAACAGGTGCCGACACTACTGCTGTACAGGTGATGACACTAAAACTCACATTTGCGGCGTGTGCTGATGCGTTGGTGCTACAGTAAGTCCTAGTTAGACAAATGAACATGACATATGTCGGCCGCTAACAGGACTGGGCTACACCACGAAGTTCCTTAGGCGGTGCGAAGTAGACTTCAGATCCTCGGCGGTTGATCTGCGTGTTCCCGAAGTTGAAAATCCAAATCTCGGGTGCCAAATTGACAAAGTGGGGATCCGGTTGAGCAGACTTCTTTTGGGCAGGGCGAAAATGCAGTAGTGCAATGCGAAAGGTCCGAAGTTTTCGCCAACAAATTTTTCAATGGCACGAAATTGGAAGTTCGAAGGAGTACTTTTACAATCCCAATAGACAGAAATAGTGATTGACATTTCCATCTGTGAACTTGCCAGTATGGACAATCAGACTAAGAAGGGGGGCGAAAGGTACAAACGAATGGCAAAAACCTCAGTTGGACATGAATAGACTTTCTGCAGTGTTACAATGACTACAACCACGTGAATGCTCGCAATCACCCAGATTAGTGGGAATAAAGTCCCCAGGATGCCACAATTACAAATTCCATGCCTTTAAAGAGCGAAATAGCAGAATTCCAAATTGCGACATCACATTGAAAGCCAGATAGTCGTGAGCTGTCCAGAAAGCGGAATGCGCCAAATCACACACCAAAGGAGACCAAAGCAGTGAACTCAATTGTCAACGTCAGCCCGTATCTCGCCACCATCAACGGGACACAGTTTTCTAGACTGAGTAAGGGTCATGTCTCCTCGATGGAAGGTCATGTCTGTTCGGCAATGAGTCAAAGGCCACAGTCCCTGTTCAGTCATAATCCCACGAGTCAGTCTGTTATGAACATGATTGTCTGCTGAAATTTTATCAACACTCACTCACAAGAACTCCCATACACGCCCATACATGCACAGAAGGAAGGGGAGAGGTAGTGGAGTATCACACCGCCCAACAGAAAGAAACGCAGCGGAAGACTCAGAGGAGCGAAGTGACAGAACACACAAACTGTGAATTCTCTCCGCACAGGTCCCGACAATCATTCATAGAAGACAACCGAGTGATCACAGCCAGAAATCAATGAAGAGATGACAACTCAAACACAGTATGACAACTGTTTATTAAACTCAGAGCATCATTTTCACTGAAGAACCTCGGAACCCTGTTGCGCTACCCTCAGAGGGGTAGCGCCTCAAACCCAACACACCCGGAACAGCTAAAAATAGCAAAGAAACCCCAGGTAACACCCAGCGCCACCCTGACATCCAACTCAGTGGCCTGTGCCAAAGCGAAACAGGCTCCCAGAGCCAATCGCCACCGAGATGATGAAGAAGAAGCTCAGCGCCAACAGTCCCTGATGAAGATGAAGTCCGGACGATAGTATCCTCTGAGAAGATGCAGCTATGGCGGCATCGCCACTGGGACCCTACTCCTGAGGAGGGTCAGCAGTGCACCACGTGCTCCAACGCATCAGACCTCTGATAGCCCAGACCGCTTTGACTCCCAGAGATTCAGAGCGGACAGCGTTGACCCCAGTCTGGTCAGCGCTCTGAAGGTCTGGCTATGTCCGCCGTCTCCCCCACCGGAATCAGCAACCACGACCTGATACCGTGTGCGCAGCAACTTCCACCACGAAGTGTCAACTGCCAAAAGCCCAGGACCGATGTCCCCATCCTATCTATCCTCTACGACTAGCCTAGACCGACCTAGACCGGACTGACTGACCGACCGGTACCGTTTTTGTTTCGGCCTCTAGGGCCTCTCCCTACCCGGCTATAGGCTACAGGACCGTCTATCAGCGTAGGCCCATAGGGCCTGTCTGTCCTAGGGGTAGCCCGGGTCTGCTATTCGCAGTTAGGGTAGCTGTAGGAAAATCGAGTTAGTACTGGGCCCATAATTCTATATTTACAGATATGTCCCTAACGAATTTCCCATACAGGCAGGTCTCTCGGTTAGTCCTCAGCCAAACAAAATTATGAATCTGTCCCTACCTATGGTACAGCCTCATCTGAGTGAGGCTACAGGCAACCTGGAACCAGCAAGTCATTGCAGACCTACCCTCCCCCGGAGCGAGGACCTCCGAGCTATGGGCGTAGGTGTGCAGAGTGTCGAAGGGGTTCCCCCTTCTGCGCAGCCTCATATTTGAGGATAACAGACTTCGCTGTTTTCAGAAGCTCCTTGGTAGTGAACCAGCGATCCTCAGTATCCGGGCTTGTACCATACTCATCCTCAACTTTTTCGAAGGGGTTCCCCCTTCCCAAGGATCGGGCAACCAAATTGAGGAGGCCTGTCTGGAAATGCATCAGCTGGGACAAACGGCAACAGCTTGGATGCATGAAAGACAGGATAGGTTTGTAGATGCAGTGGGACATCCACGTGATAAGATGGTCTGAAAGGGTCAGCTCCCACTGTGTCTAAAACCTGCCATGGACCCATGTAACGCGGCAACAGCTTGGGTGAAATGTCCTCCTCCCGCGATAACTCAAAACTGAGTACCCAGACCCAGTCACCAGCGCGGATAGGGGACGGTCGACGATGCTTGTTAGCCTGCTGAATCATAGCCTTTGGGCTCTGAGCAGGTTAACTCTGGCTCGTTCGATATCCCTATGGTACTGTCTGGTGAACTCTGCAGTCCCAGGAGTCAGTCTGGGGGTAGCCTTATCGATGATGTCATCAAGAGGTTGTCGTGGCTCACGACCCCAGTGCAGTCGATAAGGGGTGAACCCTGTGGAGGAGTGCACAGACGTGTTGTACACTAGTTGTGCCCGTCCTAGATGGAGATCCCAATCCTGCTGATCAGGGCTGATCACAGGACGCAGCAACTGGAAAAGAATCTGGTTCATCACTTCAGCCTGCCCATTGGCTTCAGGATGATGACCAGATGTCATATCCAGTCTGGAATGAAGGTAGTCCATGCAATAGGACTGCCATTCATTGCTGCAGAATCACGAATCTCTATCACTGACAATAGAGGTGGGTGGTCCATGGTGAGTAACCCACCTGTCAGCAAAGGCCGCTTGCACGGTCGGGACTCTTGCTTCCTCTAGCAGAGGAATAAACTTTGCATACTTAGAAAACCTGTCAACAAACACCATAACCTGACGCATACCACGAGGAGTAGTCCTCCCAAGATCAATAAAATCAAGGGATACTGACTGTGTGGGTGCATCAGGGATGAGAAGTGGCTGTAGCAGGCCAAGGGGAGGCCGACGAACGACCTTGTTCCTTTGGCACAGCTCACAGGTTTCAACATAGTGCAGCAGGTCTTTCCCCATCTCTGGCCAGAAGAACCGATGCGACAGGGCAGCCAACGACTTTAAGGCCCCAAAGTGGTCGCAAGCATCATGACACTCAGACATCATGAGTGTTCTCAGCTGGCGGTCCTCAGGGATACACAGACGCTCCTCTCCTCTGCTGCAAGTGTACAGCAGACCTGAGACCAAAATATATCCAAGTTCAGAGGCAGGATCAGTCTGCAGATTCCTAACGATGGGGCCAAAAGTCGGGTCCTATGGCAATAGCTTGGGCGATGGTCTGACGGGTGCTCTCCCCAAAAGTGTGAGTAGAGGAGATCATGCAAATAGCGTCAGGCCTACGAGAAAGGGCGCCTGCTACACGATTGTAGCAGCCTTTCTTGTGTTTCAGTTCAAAGTCAAAGAGATCAATGAACTGAATGTAGCGCGCAAGCTTGTCATCAGTTCCCCTTGGGTCTTCATCCACTGTAAGGTGGAATGATCTGAATAGATCTCGAAGTGCCTGCCCCATGAGGAAATGCTTCCAACGCTTTAGCGCTGACACTAGAGCATATAACTCTTTCTCGTACGTGGAATCCTGCAGCTTCTTGACTTTGATCTTCTTACTCATGTACTCAACTGGCTGCAGACCATGCCCACCATCCTGCTGAAGTACCGCCCCAACCCCATACTGGCTAGCATCAGTAGTTAGTACGAAGGGCAGGGTAGGGTCAGGTAACTTCAGAACAGGTGCACGCATCAAGGCCTCCTTGAGGCGTGTAAAAGCCTGCTTGAAGTCTGATGTCCAAAGAAAGTGGGTGTCTTTCTTTGTAAGATCAGTCAGGGTTGCAGCAATAGCAAAGAAGTTATTGACGAACTTCCTGTAGTAAGATGCAAGGCCCAGGAATGACCGGACATCACGTACTATGGTAGGCTGTGGCCAGTCCTGAATCGCAGCAACCTTTCTCGCTTCAGGAGCCAACCCTTCCCCAGAGATTACATGTCCCAGATAAGTCACAGAAGTCACTCCAAAGGAGGAGTTTTCCCTGTTGATCTTATACT